TTTGCGAATGGTCGAGGGCGTCTCGTCGCTTCGGCTTTGCACAAGGAATCCGCAAACAGGACGCATGGTGCGGCGTCGCGTCGCGTCGACGCAACGCAAACACCAGAAAATCCGCTGATTCTGTAACGTACCTCCCATTAACTTATTGCAAATTGCACGCCTAATTACTTGTCCTCTTCTTTCTTCCTTGCCTGCTTTTTCCCCTCTTTAATGAGGACGAACCTAGGGTAAAGAGCTTCGTAATGTTTGAATTCGAGCGATGTTTGATCTAATATAAGCCTGGATTCATGGGTCACGATCATTCCTGCGTACATGAATGTATGTATACTCCCAACTGTGTAGAGCTTGATAGAGAATTTGGTTCAATAAGGATTATGTAGATATAGAAATAAATATGTAGATAAAAGAATTGAAAAGAACGGTGCCTAACTCGTTGACCTCTTTATTGCAGAAAAATTATTGATAAACATTATTAAGAACGGAAGAAATCTTATTAGCTATAAAGTTAAATCTAATGTTTGAAGTACTCGACGAAAAAAGTTTGCGGAAGAAGTTGAAATGAAAGAGTTAATATAACTGTAAACTTGAAATAATAATTGAGTAAGTTCGGCAGAAGAAGAGAGGGGATGTAATTAAAACTCCGATACTACTTTAGTATTGTTTTTACTCTTAAAGGATCTCGGTTCATTCGCGTGCAGTACATTACTCGAAAGTATCTGAACGCTGTATTATGGCCGAAATTTCATCGTCCATTAAGTACAGGAACCATCCTGGTTAAATCGAATTCTCGAAGTCCGTTCAAGCGTAATTGCAACGCAGCAACGTCGCATGTTTCCCCTAGACTTAAACATTTTTCGCGAACAGGGCACAGGTCTACGGGGCTTTTCCCGCGGCAGTTAAGATGACAGATCGGGCGGGATCGAATTTCCCGTGCGCGAGCCAGAAAACAAGTAGAGTGGAAAGCGGACTGCCGCCCCGCGCCGTGCCGCAATTGCGACCGGGTCTCTCTTTTCTGTGATTTAATGCAACGCGACTGGCAACGATCTTACCCGAAAAGGACGAGTAGTCGGGTTCCTCTCGTCCTAAGGGAAACCCTGTCCGACTCGCGGCTAGGAAATCTGGGAACGTTCGACTCCTTCGTCTCCTCCAACCGTAGCCGATAAATTATTCCCTCGTCAACTTTACCTGACTTCTTCGTTTGTTCGTCTTCCGTAGATATATTTTATGGAAGTTTCATCGCATCTGCTGCTTTTAAGGTTTTAATCTATGGAATTTCTAGAAGAAATTGCTTGTGTTACGACCAAACAGTGAGGTGCAAAATAAAGGTTCCCTTTTTGGAATTCTTACAAATTATTGAAGATTACATGTATAGTTTAAACATTTAGGAAAGAATTCCGAAAATGTTTATTAATCTTCACAGATGTTTAATACGTAGAGCATATTCGATCAGTTTTAAGTTTAATTTTCAGAACCAAATTATAATCCGCGGTTACGACTTTATAAAACGTACGATTAAACAGAGGATAACATCATATAACAATTTTACTTCGTAACGAATACTCGTGAAAAAAACGAAACGAAATTCTACTATTAAGAATGATTCGATTAAAAGATAAACGAAAAGAACTAACATTGAGGAGGGGGAGGGGATGCGGGGGTGGAGGGCAAGCCATGAAAACTCAAACAGCCGCCGCCGCCGCCGCTGGTCCAACTCGGTCCCGTGTCCCCGCTTTGAAATATTCATTAAACCTTTCATTACTTTGATGAAACAATGTTTCCGCGGCGAGATACGTCGACCTTCCCTTGATTACAACCGAGTCAGAATGATTTAATAAACGTAATGTCGCTCTAATCCGGCGCAATCACGGATTACAGGCGCGTGGGTTTCCGGAGACGCGGTTGGTCGAGCGAGAAAACCACCATACAGTTCCGTGCACAATATCTCTCGCTACACACTAGTAAAAACTTTTCCAGACTGGACCAGACATGTAATCATGAAACTAATTGAAATCGGTAGGTCTTCGAGGCGTAAAATGTTATTGCGTTCGTCGCAGTAAAAGCACGAACTGTAATACACGTCGATGAAAAGTAGTTACATCAGCAATAAATAATATTAGATCGTTTAATTTGATGTCGTTAAATTATTAAAGTTCACGTTGTTAGAAAGAGAAGTGTATTTTGCTCTCTTTTTTTATGAATCGAATCTGAAATATAAATACTTTAATTTTTGTACTTTATAGTAATATAATACACATGAAAGTTGAATGTTCTCAACATTTTCAATTTATTTCTCTTCTCCAAAGTTAGCTTTTTACTGCAGGCAATGCTCGACAATCTTGGAACGAAATAATTATTTCAGATGAAACCGCGACCGCAGAAAAATTAACAGGATCGTTATTTGCGCTGGTGATATTTACGGGTCAAATATTTGAACGAATTCTACCCCAGTGGAAAGTTGGAAAAATAGTCAAATAAATGGTATCGTTGCCCGGTGTAAAATCCGTGCCCGATCTTCTTTCCGATTGAAGCCCGTTCGCAGTTTTATTTGGTCACAGTTCAATATACATATCTGTATGTACATGTAGAATGTTACGAGTTGAACGATTAAGAGGATATAAATTGGAATGGGATGCGGCGAGACCGACGGGTAGGGAAATATTTGACTCTGCAGTTAATTAGGCATGTTAATTGGATTGTGCTTCTCGTTTATTTCGGTGACATTGGTATTGATGCAAGCTTTGATGAAAAATATTGTTCAATCAATATTTGCGATAAAGAGCAAAACAAAATCAATACGATTCACGTAAAAGACGAATAACTTTTTTAAACTTGGTCCAACCGACTTAGGTTTTCTTGAGAAGTTAGCAGAATTAATTTGTAAAAAAGATTTGATATAAGTCGAAATTGATAGGAATCATGAACTAACGAAGTTTTCACTGTACTTTCTTGTTCCGCTATTGTTTCGTGAACAAATTTTCTGATTTCCTTCTGTCAGGTGATTNATTCTTTATAAACTACCACGGACGAGCTCAAATTGAAAAATACCAATTCCTCTTTCCCTTCGATGTTCCTAGACGACCCAGAGTCAATTTCGCGACAGTAGGTCAAGTTTGAAATCACGTGCAGACCCGGATTGATCGAGGCGTCAGCAGCAAGTTGGTCGGCTATTTCTGCGACAACCTTGAGTCGCGGTTACATAATTTATGCAAAGACCGGCTCACGATAGTGGGGCGCTCCTTTAATGCGATTTGCGAGCAGTCAATGGCCTGATTTGAAGGAAGCTTTGCATTTGAGATCGCTTAGTCAAAACTCGGTCGGTCCCCGGGCTCGTTCATCGCTCGTTTCCGATTTACGTAACGCCGCAGTCCCAGTTTCGTCATCGATACCGTCGCTTTTGTGCGATGTTTCCGCGTGCTAGTTCGCGCTAGTTAACGCTTGCCGTCTGCCAGGTGACAACAGAACGGTTCGATGAGCCGTGGTGAATCATGTCTGATGATGGACACGAGGTGCAAAAGTTGAAAAAGTGAAAGCGATAAAATTGAAACAATGTCAATGTTAAAAGAACACTTACTCTATTACACACGTGTTACTACGATCATCTTCGCTACAGCTGCCATACTTAAAATTCAAGATAAATTGTGAGATAGTAAATTTAGTGTTGTGCATAAGCATCAGTTATAAACTATTTAAAACTCTAGTAAACGGGTTATCATGCACTAGTTTTGAAACTTTTACTCCCTCGTCGTGTTTATCTTATTTGTTTTAATAAAACTTAACAAGATTTTTGTATGATCTGCAACGAAATTGAATCATGGACTGCAACGCACAGTCAGTTTTCATTGAATTAAGAGCATCCTGGAACCTGGAACTACTTAAAACTGTGGAAAACAGGATAACGGTTATGTAGGATCGGGCAGCATTTATCACGTTACAGAACTACTCGCGTTGCCATTCATACCCAACAATCGGAGCTGAGTTTCACTACCGCATCGGTTCGTATCCGAAGCGGAGGCACCCTGAAATTAACCCTGTAAAGTCGTGGTGGAAACGTACACAGCGACTCTGATCAATCGGCGTTTGTCGTATCTACATCGGGTATGTGCATTACTCTTGGTGTTTGTGCTTGGCAATTAGTCGCTGAAGTAACATTTGTTCGCGCCCGTGGCTACATAGAAATAGCCCGAAATTGGTGACACGCAAAATCACCGCGTAACCCGTACGTTACGCCATCGATTAGGGTTGTTAACCCTTCTATGGTGGGAACATCTGTGATGTACAGTGAAAATAATATGCTGTACAAAAGTGCAAACATCATCCATGCTTTAGGTTCAAAAATCAATTTATCTTTTGCGCATTAGCAGAATATTTTTTCTATACATTTTTCCTCATGAGATCTTCAACTGCATCAGTCGATGTATAATAAAGTCATTTTTGAAATATGTGAATTACATTTTGTCACCGGCTTATCACGTGGAACAAATCCCGACGGGAATCAGGAATTTTTTCACGTGAACGAAAATTAGAGTCGAAATGGCCGACCGTCCAGGGCAGAAATAGGCTAAAAATTGGTTAAAATTGGTTGAACTACGGAATGCGGTTTCGACCACGATGGAGCCGAACTCGATTAGCGGGCTGTCCGAAGTGGAGCATGAACTGGACCGCGGTGTTCCATTTTAAAAGTGTTTGAAATTTGCGTTCACCGGGACGAATCGAACAGGAAAAATCGTGGCGATGAATATTGAGAATTAACTATACTGTTCCAGTATATTCTGTTAAATTTCTATTCAGCGATTAATTTTCTTAATTACTTTTTGTCTGATTGAAAAACGTAACGTAGGTACGTATAAACCGGATCAAATATGTACTTTTTTCTATATTTGGTTATGAACATTATTTAAAATTCGATGAATCTAGTAATCTCAGTTTTCTAAAATTATATCTTATCCTTACGTATCATGTTATTTATTGAATTCATTCGATCATGTCATATATTATCAATCATTGAATTTTGTAAGGTACATTGAGTGATAATTTCTAAAATAAATTGGAACCTGTTTTCATGTTGATATATTGAACTTAATACAGATTGTAATTCTTTGATGGATGAAAACAGCGTCACGAGGTTGATGTAACTTCAAAATTATTTTGATTTGCGGCCGTCGTCATCGTGCGAACCATAGGATTTCGTTTTGGAAGCCGACAAAGGGCTCGTGACAGAAAGTCGATAGAAACGTCGCTGAAAATTAATGAGCCAATCGTGTGTAGCATGCCCCGCACCGCCGGAATAATTAATGATCCTGTTATTTGTAGTTTCTTCAGTTCCCATTGAGCCCCGTCGCTCTTCCTGGATGTGCCCTCGCTCTGCCTGTGTAGCTGTTCCGGGTGGATCGACAGGTTTTCGGGTAGCCGAGAGTGCTTGACAAATTGCGACTACTTTGAAAAATTAGCTGAAATGTAGCTGTAGTAAATAAGCACATACTGCTTATTTGGCTGTTCTGTACAGATTCGTAATTGTATAATAATTTATATTAAATAAGTTAACATACTAGTGATTATGTAGTGAAAGAATTTTGTAAAAGATCTGTGAAAATAACTTTCTGTAAGACTTTGGTACGCGCGCGTTTATCGTACATATATGAAACAGCATACTTTTTGTAGGTAACACTCTTCAATTTAGGAATTCGCTAATGTAAATTCATGGTATAATCACATTTTCTTAACGAGTTAAAGATCTCCTTTACATAACAAGAAAACGACACTTGTTAGACACTTAGGACAGGAATGGTCGAGCGCAGTTTTGGCTGGGCTAGCGTGTCGCTAAATCAATGTCAATTCCCGTTCTTCACCGCTGCCAGGCCATTTTCTTGGCGGCGCGACGGACAACTCAACCACCGGCCGACTGACACCGCGTTTGATGTCCATTATTGTAATAGCCGATCATTTTGCTGATAAATGATCGTTTTTCTGTCGTACTACGTAATTTCACACCTACCCTGCGAAATGCATTCTACGCCAAATGTCCTTAATCCTTTTTTATCGTGATCTGCTTTTATTTTATTGCCTGTTGTCGCTAGCGAAAAATGTTTCATACAGAACTTGTAACTCTTGTCGACAGCTACAAATAAGGTCAAATGAAATTTCTCCGCAGGTCCGATGATTTAGGTGTATTTGAGAAAAAACGAAATTTTTTCCAAACATTTGCCATTTCGACGGTGGGAACGGCCGAATTTTATCAGTACCAATAAAATGCCGATTAATCATACTTAACTCGTTAAATACTGGAGTTAGAAGAAAAATACATAGCATTCGGTTGTTTGAAGCACATTACAAATAGAATATCTACGTTAAAAACTACATATGTAAAAATATGTATATACAGAAAGTAGTGGTTTAAAATCAAGCTATAACGATACTATAAAAATTTCCTTTTCGCTGAAAGTTTTATGAATGGGATTCCAAGAGAGAGAATAACATTCTCTTCTCCCTTGTCACGTTTATCGCACGAGTTTCATTTCTGTTCGGTCACTCGACGAATGGGGAGCACACTTTTTTAACATTTAGTAGCCTTGAATTTTAATTTCTGCTTATTTCACAGTACTCGCTCGTTCCTGTTCTTCTTGCCGGACTTTTTTTCTTCAGAGACAATGTTCTGTCGCGGTTTCAAGTATCGTTGACAGAGTTATAAGGTGCAGTAGATTATTTTATAATAATGCGTCACGCGGTGTTGGGCATTAATCAGTTATAGAATAATGTATAAAATGATTCTGGGATGAAATTGTACTAGACAAAACTTCACAAAAGTATACTTATAAAAAATCAAAGAGGAGGTTTACGGTTCGCATGAGGCATGTGTCTACCCACCCCGGCGAGAGAATCATCTGTTTGTCCGCAGATAATTAACGTAACGGTTGCCTGATCACGCAAATCAAAGGCATCTAGACGCGGACGCAGGCGTAATTAAGGCCTCTCCCAGACTGCGCAAAGAACAATAGGGATTGCACCGGCGCGCATCGCGCGTCAATGATCGCGACGTGCCTGATCCTCCCTCAATCATCGGCAATCGACCACGACCAAGTTGCTGCTCTGTCTGCTCTTCAACGCGTGACCGACTTCTTTTGCATTGTTACCGCTCTCTCAGTCTCGTGCTGAATTCACTTTTCTTTATTTCTTTTCAAATTACAATTCATGTCGGTTTCTGCATGAATTGTAATAAAAAATCATTCGTAAATCAAAAATGGTCCTGAAATGTACACGGAATCGGAAGCTTGCAGCTTTATAGAAATATATCTTATGTCTTGATGGATTTTCAAACATGTCGAATTTTAATTCGTAAAAAAAGAATTGTGCAAACTGTATAACAAAAAAAATTATTAAGAGCCTGTGTCTTAGATATCTTGAAATTCCAAGCTGCTCTTATGTTTCTCTAAACGCAAATGATTGCTCACACGTGAATCTCACTCTGTGAAGTTCTCCATTAACCCATATTACCCAGCAAAAGTCAGAGATATTCCTATTAAAGTTGCCGTTCAGAACTCGAAGTTTTCGGGTGAAAACTGAGTAGATGGCAACTTTGAGGATAGAGAGGAAGGGTTGCGAAACGAGCGAAATCGTCTGGTTTCGCCACTTCATATGGGACGAGGATGGAAGATAGGAGGGTTTGGTCGCAAACTCAACTCGAGCTCCAATAATTCAGAGGCAAATTCTATGGTGGCTCGACAACACAGGTCGGGCAAAGACCGCCGCGCCGAAACGGACAAAGGGGTCACCGGGATTGACCTCGCCGAAACTTCTATTCTTCCGTCTCTGTCTACCGTTTTCACTCTTCCCTCTCCACTTACTTCGTACCTACCTACCTACCTACCTGGCTCTGGCTGCCTGCTGTCCGCTTTTCTCGCACGCGTCCAGCGCATCCCTCGTACTTTGCAAGCCCCGGGATAAATGAACGCGTACAGTTGTGACTGGATTAAAGGGTGGACCTCACAGTTAACTATGGAAGTGGGAGGACGCGAACCTTTTGAATATTGAAAGTGATGGCAATTTTTCTTCCTCGTGGTATTTATGGAGAGAATGGACGTGGAAAAGGTACTGCAATACCTCTAACAGCTTTTTCGTAAAGTGAAAAGCAAAAAATGTAGTAAAAGCGTGTACAAATTAAAAAACAACTACTAACAGTATTCAAACATTCTGGTAAAAATATGAATGATATTTGAATATGAGAATCTTCGTTTTGTTAGAATATAAATAAATTCTTTAGTTGGTTCCGGGTGAAAACTTTAATTTGTTGCGTTATTATAAGCAAATAAAGCAGATTGCATTGGTCAGAAAACTAACGACAGAATCCCCTGTTTTTCTTCACAGTCAGGTCAACATGGACGCTGAAGCAGCGCTGCTGGAGAACTCTCCAACGCTCTCGACGATCTCGTCCGATTGCACGGACACCACATATTCAGGCCCCGGTTCGCCGTATTCCCCAGAATCCCCGATCATTGTCACTACCTCGTACAAGAAGACAAAGGATGACGAGGTCACGCCCAGACCCACACCCAGACACCCGTTTCCATCCAGGAAGCCTAACTTCCGGATACGACCGCCCTATCTTATGATCTGCATCAGCATTATCGAAGTGAGTACCCCAAATTCAATTATTCTCTCCAGTTCTTAATAAAAAATATAGATAATAGCGCAAAACTGTTAGAATTATTCGTATAGATTTCAAAATTGTTAATCAAAATCAATCTAATTCTTTAAACTCATTTATTTATCAAAAAGAATGAGATAAGATTCATTTCGTTAATAAACGTGAAATACTGTATTCACTAATACTGACAAAGGACATTTACTTATACATGTACATATATCTTGATGTATAAGCAAATATGAAATTATTGAAACTGCGGAACGGGAAATATTCGGTGTATTAACGAAACAGACAAAGCGAGTCTTTAAAACCGCACGATTGATGGTAATAGGGAAATTAAAATGAACGAGCGAAGTTGAAATGAAAGTTGTGATTAGGGTAATTTGATTTAGTAATTGCACCGTTTTTGAATGGCTCGCGAGATTCGAGCGCAATTCGTGGTCGGTGATTGATTAATGAACGAGACTGTTTTTGAGTGAGCCAACTGAAGCCAATTTATACTTGCATATGAACAAAAATTCGTCTGGCTGCGACGTCTGTTTTGCATTAAACAAATCTCAGATTACATAGCAAGATATGAAGTAATATAAAAAGTTTTTATTGTGCAACTAACTTAAATCTGGAGTATGCAGAGTCATAATAATTTAAAGAGAACAGTTTTCTTTTATCATTTGTTAAAACCTACAGACTTCTTACAGATGTGATACAGAGCTTTACAAAGTAAGTTGTTGTTAGTTTGTAAGTTTGTAAGTATGTAAAAATATAGAGGAGAATACTGCTTTAATTCTAAGAATGTTCTAATTACAAAAATACGTATGACAATTATTTAAATTAAGAATCTTTGAAAGTGGCAACTTTTTAAAAGGGGTCATTTGAAATCAGATAAATCTGTTATCTATAAAATGTGATGAAGCACCGAGACATCCAAGATTATTAGAAAAATCTCAAAGGAATGCCTCGAGAAAGAGGCAAAGATCCTGTTCGCCGCTTTTATTCACCACACCGGAAACCTCGTTGCACCGAAAAAGTGTGTACCTACGCGTGGAGTCTGTCGAGCTCGAAAAATTTCCCATTAGCCGAGCTAATGCGTCGCCGTGGAAGCACATCGCGTCGCGTCGCGTCACATCGGCGTCCGGGGACGACGAGGACAGAGAGTGGCAGCCGATGGGAATCTCTCTCAATTATTCGCACGAGTTCACGAAGGAATATCGTGCCGGTATTTCAAGAAACTCGAGCTCGGGACGACTCAAACGAAAAAGGTGAAAAAAGAAAAAAGAGGAGATGGAAGAGAAAAAACCCGGAAGAAAAAGTAAGGGGGAATAAAAAAAGGCAGAGAGCAGTCGGTCTCTTTCTTGGATACGCGTTCCTTTGGCTTCAACGGATTCTTATACGTACTCTAGTCCAACCTCCTAGCTCGATAATAATTCCAGGAGAGCTTATTCGAGCGCTTCCGGAAGCTCGTCGGGTACGAGCTGCGAACGTGGCGAATAAAATGCGCCGAGTTTAAAGCCGCCAAGTTAAATGCAGCCTTTCTTTTTCCCCCGACGCTTTTCGCGCAATAAAACAGAAGTTAACGCTGTCGACGGAGTTAATGAAACGGCGCCAGGCTGAAGGAATGCCGGTTGGCGTCTCTACGACGATCTGATTCCGTTCATTACAGAAGTAATCGATTTTTTAAAGATCGCTACTATCGTACTAATTATAAAACTTGCTCTCGAAATATATGAACATTTCCTTAAATCAAATGCATTTGAAAAGCACGTTGCCGTTTTAACTTAATCTTTTAAAATGAAAGATTTGACGTAATTTTTAAAAGTAATTAAATTGGTGACAACGAGAAGAATATTACTGACGTTATTAAACAATCTTTAAAGTTCTAATATGAATTATGAAATATATCTAAAGTATTTAGTTGAAGAATAATTGTTTCTTTCTATAATGAGTTTCATTTACAGTATCTACCACGGAAAGAATAGTTGTTACAACAAAAAATATAAATGATAACTATTTCAATTTGAGGAATTATAACAATCGTGACAAACAATTTCAATAATTTCGCTAAGTAATTACGTTTGAAGATCAGGAAAAGAATAAAGTAAAAATTTCGCGTTCCCGGTTCAATTAACCAGCTCCATGAACTTTAATAATAGTCCTCTTCTCTTACAACGAACGCTCCCCCGATTGTAATAATCCAAATTCGTGGAAAATTCGCGTTCTTCCGGCAATTAAGCGGAATTCCAGGAACTCGGAACCGCACGACGCGGCGCGGCGCAGCGCCTTCCCTCCGTGAAAATCAGAATTCCAACAGGACGCTGATTCGTCGAAAGCGAAGCAGGAATCTAATCGTCGTTACGCGTCCAACAGTTTCGGCACGATGAAACGAACGGATAACGCTTTTCTCAACCGCGTGACCTTTTAATGGAAACGCTGAGATAGCGCGAACGGGCGTGGGCGCTCGCTAGAGTGGCCGAAAAGTCGACTTCTGTTTCGGTAATAATCGCCCTCCGGTTTGTGGTTATGCGTCGCTCGCGTGTAACACCGCATCGTAGCAGCGGAGGAGGTCGGATAACGAACGCGATAAATCAGGGGTAAATGCGCGGAACTACAAATACGGCTCATTAGAGAACTATGATTAATCGTCGGAATAACTTTTTCTTTATGTGAAAATCATTCAACGCGAGATAAATTGGCGTTAATCGTCCAGTCATTAAATACTTTCTTTTTTACAATTGATTGATATGAACGAGAATTAATTTAGTCCATTTCTAACTATGCATAAAACGTACCAATTCTGTCGACTTCATGTTTGCATTGCAAATGTAATTATTGAAATTCTATTAGAGCTTGAAATTATCGAAATTGAATACTTGGTGAAAAATGCGAGAGGTAGATAAATATTTTATTCTGTTCTGTTATACTGACAGAGAATAATCAACAAGGAATGATAAGAGAAAGATAACTCCACTTCTTTTTCTTTTAATAACTCTTTTCATTTACATTTTGTATTTAGGATTTTCTCGACGTATGTGAATATCGTATATCATAGTTCTATTACATGAGAACTTTTGTTAATACATCGTTATCTCTGTGGTACATGGCTCTCTGCCAGTTGTCTTTGACAATCAGTGACGTCTCTAGCTGCTCGTAACACGATAGTGCAATTCTCTAACTTTGATTCTCTATCAGACTTGACGATGCCAGATGAATATTGCAAACGTATTTCATGAGTTTCATGTAAGATCTCTTTGACGCGGAACGTAATGCACCTCGATACCCGTTACCGTTTCACTTCACACGCTATTTCCGCTGACAATACCGTGAATATAAATTTTCTACGATATTAGAAATTTATATATTTTACCATTCACGCACACGTAATACATTTATCCCAACCGAAATGGTTTGAATTTTATGTTTTGAAGAAGATACTTTCTAGTTTAGTTTCTGGCTATCGGAATCCATAAAACTTTATAGTTAAACAGAGAGGGTGAAAAATATTAGAGTGTTCCGGTTCCGCGGGCGTGCGATAGTTTATGATTTATTTGATGGAAGAAATCGTTCGCACAACCGATTTACTCACTTTACTGTTCTCTCGGTAACGATGGCTGAAAGGTTCACAAGCGCATCTTTTCTTTAGACTCATGTTTTGTGTTGAAAATAAAATGTGACGATAAAAGAGAACAGGTAAAATATAAAAGTAAAACGTGTTCGAAAATAATGTAATGTACACTCGAAACTGCTTGTACTGCAAATTAGCTTTTTTTTTAAATTGATTTCGAATGCATAATCATAATCATTTAGTATCTTGAAAAAAATCTGCTCAGCAGCTATTCAACTATACGTAATTTCTGTGGGTTCCTGCCCATTTTAGAATAATAAAATGCGACACAGAACTTTTTTTAATATCATACTAAAGAATACCGAAGGTGAACATAATTAATCGTACTTTGAATCGTTTGGTGATCACAGTTGGTTACTCACTTGAGTATAGAGAATATGTCAGCATCTAACAAGAGGAGATTCCACAATTAAATTACCAGCTTAGCATATTTATTAGTAATACAAAACAACATTTAAATTAACTATTTAATAATAACGTGAATAGATTACTTAACCATACTAAAAGGAAAATGCACGTGTCCCGAAATACAACCATTGCAATTTCCATAAGAAAACCAAAAATATAAATAACGATTTTATCATTTGCAATTGTCGGTAATTACCATCATTACCGAAAAGTCAAGGGAACGTTAATGCTTTAATAAATAAAAACGGAACGATTTATCACGAGGCGGTAACAACTGGTATAAGCGGTATCGACGTACGATCTAGCGAATAATTAATTCCATTCCTGTATGGAAATTCGATCCGCTCGAAATGGTAATTAGTCAAAACTGCTTATTTAATGCTGGAATAAACCGGCCGCGGTATCGTTCACTGGCTTTAAATTTTGAATCCGAACGAGCTCGTATGTATTGTGAATGATAATCAATGAGAGAAGACGCTCGATTATCGTGCAACCAGCAATTTATTTGTTATTAACGTCAGAATTGCAGATATATAATAGTACGCTGCCAATTAAATGCCAATTACACTTGAAATCTCAGTTCATGATCTTCTCTTGTTCAGTTTTCCTTTAAAGAAAATCTTAAATGAGATCAGTATAAAACATATGTGAAGTTATATTATTTAAGTGACAAAAATAAATTTATTACACTACGATACAATGACTCGATTTGGTACAACAAAACAGCAGTCAGCGTGTACTAAATATTGGAAAATATTTCTACATAATCAGAATATAATTTATATCCTGCAAAATAAACTTCCAAAGAATTTTCATAAATAGTTCGAGTGGAGTTAAACGCCAATGAAGAGCTTTTTCCAATTTACTCGGACGATCGTATCACCGGTACGGGGACGACCGAAATTATTCATGAAAACGAATTTAACAGCAATTCATCCGGCTTGGCCGGGGTAATAAATTTCGACAGGTCGCCGTACTACGAGGACATCAATTTTTTTATTTTAATAGTTTTTTCATTTTTTAAGTCAGATCTCCTTGTTGTCAATCGGAACATCTGTCGTTATCGAATTTTCATTTCCCTCGATTTGATCGGCCTATCACTTTATCAGGACGGAGATTAGTCAATCAATCCGATTACTCACAAATTTAATTTTGTACATTCAATGCAATGTACAACGTAAATTGGGATTTATGATTCTCTAAAGAGGAAACTTAAATACTTCCTGTGGATTATTGTATTTTACCAAGTGTGTACACTGCCTTTCATAAGTCATGGGACATGCTATAAACATTTACATTAAACGTCAATTAGCATTCTTAGAATGAATCTTGGAAACCATAATTAATGGGTTTACGTATTGAGAATACCTTTTTCCATTTCTAAGTTATACATTTAAATATACATTGAGAAATATACAAAATGTGCACTGTTCGTTTGTTTTATTACGTTCTTTCAATTGAAATTTAATATTACTAAAGTATAGAAAACAGTCTTTGAAATTTTAAAGTATCCTAAAACTTATAAGTGGCACTGTACAAACGTGACAATCGGAACGCATTCTGACGACAGATAGCGGTTCACTGCCTAGGGGATGAGGCCACTCTGCGCAGGTGGTTGGTCTACGACCCCCGTCAAAGGGTGCAGGGTTGGAGATTCGCCTCGTACATGCTGCTACACTCGAATGCGCTTCACCTTGCGTTGAACGTGGTTATACAGTTGGTGCTGGCCACTCCGCTCGAGGTAAGTTAATCAGATTAATTGCTGCTGCACCCTGCATCTGGGTGACCACCCACTTTTTTTAACCCTCTTGCGGGAACACTCCAAAGTAAAGCCATCCACTTTTTGCTATGATGTGGTCGATTGTCTCATCTCAGTTTTAAGGAAATTGAAAACGCAGCTCTAGAAAGGGTAAAATTCCGAATGGTAACAAAAATTAGAAACAAAGTAGTTTGTAATTAATTTTGTTTAGAATTTTTTGATGTGTTCCTTGATCCAGTTTTTTTATTGTCGGCTCTCAAAACGATTGTTTAATGATCGTTGCCTTCTGCGAAAGAGAATTTTTTATCGGAGAGCAAAATGTCAATTCTTTCTTCGGCAAAAAGGTACAAGTAACAATGTCGAGGAAAGGAAATGTTTAATGGCCACAGGTGGAACAGGGCCGAATCGGAGTGGCGACAATCTATTTGGGGGGTGGTGTCTGTGGAGCACTTGGAGCATCTCTTCTACAACCGAGCCTCTTTTTGGTCGGAGCCTCGGCGGGTGTCTACGCCCTACTAACTAGCCATCTTGCACATTTATATTTGGTACGAAAACCTTTGTCCTCTTATCATTAATGTATCGTCATATTCTTGTACCGTTATTTCGTCAATATAAAAAAATCTTGTTCATATTCTTAAACTTAGTGAGCTACAAATTCACTAGTTGCATGTATCTTTTATTCTATTTTTATTAAAAATCGTTCATCATTATAAAAAATACATTTCATACCATTCATAGAGGACTAATTAAACAAATGACAAATTGAATAACTGAATGGATGGAAAAATATTTCCCCATTTTTGATTCCAGTGTCACGGAGAGCTCCGCTATGCTGGCTGGCGTCTTGGCGCCGTGTTACTGCTAGCCAGTGCGGACGTGGCTTCGCTTCCAATTCCGGCGCTTCTTGGTTGCGGTAGAGTCGGCTGGGCCGCGCACGTGGCTGGCGCCCTAGCTGGTCCCCTTTTGGGTCTCGCGGTGTTCCCGAATCAAAGCAAAAAAGACGCTAGAGGCCGGCGATTTGTCAGATTCGTGCGTCTACTGTCGGCCATCAGCGTGATGCTTCTGGTCGTCGGCGCCATCCTTGGCAACATTTACTTAATTGCACTGCCACAGCTAAGGAAGCCGTCCTGACAGAGGATCGAGCTGCTCGTCAAGCTCTGCAGACGGTCCTTTCTCATCGTTAAGATCCGGGAGGCTGCCGAGAGCGTTTTCGAGTAGGTTCTCACCCGAATTTCTTTGGAATGAACATTTTTCCTTGATACGGAGAGAGGAACTATATTCACGGAATCGTGAGAAAAACAAAAAGCAAAAAAGGAATTTTGGAAATTGAGATAGAATTGAAGCGGACTTTGAATTTGTAGGAGCTGGAATCGTGAAATTATCGAAAGAAGGAGTAGGACAATTTTAATCAAATAAGAATATAATTTTGGAGAGGAGAACAAAATTGGATTGTAAATTTTGAATGAAGTTAGCAATTATATTATGAGTTATTCCATTTCGAAACATAGTTGTGATGTATATCGGAGAAAAAATGTTTGAATCGATGATATCAAATCAGATTTGTTCGTGGAATTGTAACAGTTGACCTGAATAAACGATAACAGGAAGACTTGGATGATCTAGTCAAGATAAGGAAAAATTGAAGACACTCGAAAATTGAGTAGTGAAGTAAGTTTTACTAGAGAAGAAAATGATTGAGATATCTTTGCCAAAACTGCCATACAACATTTGTTGAATGAATCTCCAAAGACGAGTTAAAGAAGAGTCAGTATAAAAAGAGATGAAGAATTCTTAAAAAATAAACGAACGAGGAACACTGCCAGAAATTGCAGCTGGTTCGATCGAAGTTTCATCGACAGGAATAATCGAAAATCCCCCTTTAGGAGAACTGAAGTATTCTGTTTACTTCCGGACGACTTAGTCGTTAGTTAAACGCTGCCTGTTTCGGAGAGGAGCCAGAAGTTGGACACTTTGAGGACTTGTTGTCTAGAAACATTTCTTCGGAAAGTGTAGTTGAAGTTTCAATGAAAAATAGACATGTGTGGACGTGTATAAATCGTTTAGTTCACGACTTCTTGCAATCAACATTAAAAATACTTGGTGGATAAGAAGATTTCGTTCTCCTGTCTACGTTCGATGGCTGAAGAAGGAATCGTAAAACGGGAAAGTTGGAGGAATTAAGCTTAACGATCAACGTAGGATAGTCCACATAGTGAAAATAGAAGTTGCGAAGGATTTAGAAAACAGTTCAGTGGTACGTATTTCGAAAAATTTCTATTTGATAAATGAGTGATCTGGACGACAGACCAATTTGTGAGCATCAAAATAATAGGTAGTAACAATGAGAGAAAAGAGTTGATAAATAGATGTTAATTATTCAGAAATTCACGATAATAATATGAAGAGTGTGGTGAGTCATTTAGCAAATATAGTGGTCGAAGCGATGAATGTACAATCGACTTAGCAGTAAGCCTGACACCACACAGTAGCTATTAAGCGTGTTCTCTAATGGTGCGTTTAAACGAAACGAACGTTCATTCGCGAGTCACCCACTTCGGAAAGTTCGTTTTCCGTCGATGGCAATTGACAATTGGTGGAAGTGGAAGAACATTCGCGCTACTTGAATTTAACAACAGTGAAGAACGAACAAGCGTCCGTTTAGTTCAAAGGCACTCTAAATAATTCTTCGCTATAAACTGCCGGTTAAAATAGCGAGAAATTCGGTACTCGATATTGAATGCAACTGCGTGCGACGAGTTCCTCTCTTCTTCGATTTCTTCTCCAAAGATTTCGTTTACTTGGGTATTTTATGCATTTACAATTATTATTGTATTAAATATACATATAATACTAACTCATACTATTTACGAGTATGTACGATATTTAGCGTAAAAATTTCTGAAAGAGAAATATACATAAAAAAAATATCTGTGAGATAAAACAATTTTTCAATTCACTGCCAGAATTTCTATAACGTAAATAATCGCCCAAGCTGTCCAGCAATTCTAGAGCAGGAGAAATCATCCAAGAAATTCTATTCTGGTGATGTATTTTCCTTGTACCATTCATGGCGGAAGAAGAAACAGCTCAGAAGAGGGGAATTTAATCGGAGTAAATGCGCGACAGGAAATTCGTAGAAACGGAAACGACGAACGCGCGAAGTGTTCACGCGTGCACGAGTCGCGAACGTGGCCGGAATTTTCATCGCGACCCTCCTACCCTTCCCCAGTAGCTTTTTCGACGCTCTAATCGTGCATCCTGCCTCCACCCAATGCGCGGGAGTGAAGGAGAAGCGCGCGCGCGCGAACAAAACACCCACCACCTCTTTCATTCTCATCCCCGGTTTGTATCGACAACGTCTCTGTCTGTATAAAGTAAGACTGTCTTTTCTACACCGGCAGTTGATGCTATAAACTGTATACCCTTCGATGGAAATTTTTTAAAAGCACTGAACGATTAAGGTCATTGACGGAAGTGTATTAATTAAAATAATTTAATTTATCAAATTGTAGTTTGAAATTTGTTACGGAGGAAATTCATGATGGATTATGTGCGATTACTGTGATTAGTGGTCGAATTAGGCAAAGAATTTATATATTAATTGTGTGATAAAAAAGAGTAGGAAACTTGTTACTTTTTTGATATTAAATTTTTATTTAAAACGTTTGGCAAAAGATCAGTTATTTTAGAAAAAATGACAGAATTGTTACTTCGGATTGTAATTAGATTTTAGTATAACATAATGAGAATTGATTAATAATTAAAAGGCAAAATAAATAAGGAAATGATAAGAGGTATTAGATGTTTGGGGGTTGTCACAAGATCTCCCTTGGATTCCTTTCACAGGACTACCGATTCATTATTTCGAAAAATCATTAGTTTGGAAAACTGAAAAATTTTCATGAAAAAGAACTCACCACTTTCGTTTAATAGTCACAATCTTTGAAAATCGGTAAAATACAGAAGAAGAAATCCAAGGTTTCTGTATTGGTGGAAAAGAATTTTGTAAAAAGTTTAGAAAATATTTCGGTAATTATTTTTAAACAAAAATTGTTCAAAATCATGTCTCCCACAACATATTTAAACGTCATTAAAATCGGTAAGGAGTCCCCCTTTGTAAATAATTGCCAATATTTGTTTCGATCAATCGCGTAACATTAATAATGTTGCCAAAAAACGAAACAAAAAACATATTTATAATTGTACGTAGGAATTACCCGATAGAAAAAAGTAGCGCCTAAACGTGTTTGAATTTCTCACAAATCTTTAATTCGCTCTTAATCGAACATATAATTAACACAAAAATGATTTTCATGGAACGTTCATCTTAAAGAAATGGTTACTCTATCAGACAATAAGATACACCTATAAAATTTCGTCTATCTTTAGAAAAGAGTACTGATTTTCTTCAGTAAGAGAGAAGTACTAAACAAAACGAATACTTAAAGACAAATTTTTTTCTCATAGTAGGATACATGTTTTATTTCATCTTACGAATGATTTGTGGAGAATTCAAACAGTGAAAATTTAGTTGACCATCGTACCTACTCATTTTACGGATACGTCATATATACACTTGAGGCGAACTGGCTGTGATTATGTTAGTGTTACGGACTTACGTCGATGCTGTTAATAATAACGACGATACGATTATATATCTGTAAATACGACCGAATAATTGGATAAATATATAAATATAAATATATATATACAAAATACAAATACGATTATATATGCTGTGATTTCGTCACGGGCATGCATTAAAGAAGAAGAACTAAGGAGAACGCATCATCAACAGTCTCCATTATGTATCAAACAATCGAATGCCTGCAATAAAGTCAAAATCGTACCGCGGTCCCGTAAATCCTGCGTTTTACCTTTAACATATCCAATTGCACCGTCAACTAAGATAATTGTTCGCATTTTAAAAGGAAATTATTTTCAATAAGTTTTCCTTCAATAAGCAAAAGAGTTTCCGGTTTGTATGAAAGAGAAGTAAGGAGTTTGTACAGCAGATAATGTACGTATATTTTACAATAAGCTTTAATCGAACTATTAATTACTTGTTAACAGGTCTATTACGTCAGAGCATATTTCTTTAGTAGCAGGGACATATAATGATAGACAGTAATTTGAATTCTGTAGACGTTTATTGCAACAAACGTAAAATCTTAAAAAGTATAGTACAAGCCTCTGTGCGGCATTCAGCGCGAATTTTACGGCCTTGTTAACGCGATACAGAAACGACTACGCTCTCTCGACACGGTGTCCTTAAAATTCTTCGAACGAACAAGAATATAGAGAGAAAACGCAAAAACTAAAAAGAAAATTCGCGGAAAGAACAATATTCGCTATTCTTCAATCGATTATGTTAAGATTAATTACCGCTACGTTCTACGCTTACAATCTAAGATGATAGCTCGTGATTTAATGTGAATTATTTCGCTTCTGTCGATGAATGACGCCTACGATCGCAAATCAACACTTGTAATAGCACCACGTCGTATGAATCACAATCAGAATACAATTAATTATATCTACGCAGTATAGGGATCTAAGACAAAATGTAATAGGGACGTTTTGAGTTTAAACGTAACTATCGGACCATTAATTGATAATATTATATAATTAATAGAGTAGGGACCTTGTGTTCTTGAGATAAATAAATTATTGCAACGATCATTCCGAGATGCAAGTAAGAATTTTTTTAATTAACGTCAATTATTATTATTCGAAAGTTAGTCTTTAAAGTTAAACTTTACAAAGAGCTTTGAGAGAGTAGAGCTTTACAAATCTTCGTGAGGTCATCGATTCTTTTGCAGCTAATCTCCAAAATAGTTAACAAGTCAGCTGGAGATATATTCAGGTAAGTAAGTAAACGTTAATATCAATTAGGGTATCTATATTTTATAAGAATTTTGATTTATGTCTCCGAACAATAAAAGAATATAAAAACTTATTATTGAATTTGATAGCGTTCTGACTTCGAATCATGTAATATAATAATTTTTTAATCATTTCACTAAAGAATATTATAGAATAATCTGAAAAGTAATCGCATTACATGAATTAAAAGGATAAAAACGTATTACTCCAATTATTATCAGAGCTCATTATAAAATCGAAGAATTAATGCATATGTGTTCCCAACTGAGCAAAAATGTAAAAATTTTGGAATAATGTATTCAGGTAAGAATGTCTAACAATTTGTTAGGAAATGGGAGAATGGAGTTTGCTAAACGACACTTACCAATTAGCTAATATTATAATAGGATTACGAAGCATTACGCTCGTCGCAGCTTGTCTGCAAATGCAAGGCAGAAGTTTCGCACGCGAATTCGTGGAACCCTGGAATAAAGGTATTTATACCAGGTTGTAGTAACTACAATTGCTAGATCCCGAATAATAGTACTGAAATGATAAAAACGTAAACTCGAATCTTGGAATATCCTTGCAATTTTATCAATTCTCAGAGTTTTTTTCGTTGCTATACCGCTTAGCGGAGAATAATGATTTACGTTCGAGGGATTAATGCATTCACTGTTGCGCGAGCTTCAATCAAATCATGCTACTTAATCAAAATATCTATGTAACTTCTAACAAAATTCATCCAATCTTTTCTTATAGGAACATATGAAGAAAATGAAACTTGAACTATACTGATCACAATATTTGTTTTAATCAGAATTATTCACAATTATCAGTTTGACAATCTTCAAAGAGGAAGAAAAAGGTTGTAATGTATTATGAAATATCTGTCAATTAAGACAGTAGACAAGATCTCAGCACAGGAGGCATTAATTAAATCCCGCGAACCCCCGAAATCTCGTGACGACCATCGAAACTTGCCCCTGGGAACCACTTCGAATGACGCAGCAGTGAATCCATTAACTGAAACGAACCTAATCACAAGGAAAACAGCCGGGCCCGGGCATGAGCACGGGCAGCCGCGATCAACATTCGAGTTGCTTGCATTGCACCCCGATTTCCGTGCACCTGCACTCTAGGCACGGACCTGACAATTCGGTGATGATCCTCCCGACCCGGTACATCCTTCCGTAAATATTACATCCGGCCAGTTTCAATAAACTCGCCACCGATATGGGTATTTCGTTCTCGAACAACTTGGAAGCCGTTCCAACTTCCGTCACGGGGTTTTCTATTTTCTCATTCGCATTGAGCGAACTCGTTTTCTCCTCCGCTTTGTAATCGAAATTGGTAGTCGGAGATCTATCGGTAGTTGGAGTTTCCGTTGTCTTTACGCTTTTGTTCTTATTGTCATTTACTGTATCCGATGAAAACAATAAATCCAAAACGCTGTCAAATGAAAATATAGAGTCTTCTAAATCTGAATTTGGTTTATCGGTACTGGTATGAGAATGAGAACTGTTCAATTTTAATTGTGATTCGTCGATCTTCGGTTTAAACGAAATATCGGTATCGTTCTCTTTTCGGTCGTTCAATTTAATAGAATCGGGTTTTGTTATATTGTTAGGAGAATCTTTCTGCTTCTTAGTAGTATGCTCTGTCACCAAAGAACTGATTCTATAAGGGATTGCTTCAGAAACGTGATCCACGTACTGTTCAGCCTTTTTTGAATTATGGTTTGATTCGATCCCGTCTTTAAAATGTCCCTCCGGATTTATATCGTATTTATTATTGGAGACTGGTATGTCCGAATTTTCCTCTGGTCTGTATGGTGGACGTAGCAAAGACAAATTGTCGACGAAGTCGAAATTCGGTAAGCGTTGAGAGTTCGGTCCTTGCAATGGCAAAGCTTTTGGCGTGCTAGGGATGGACGGTCTCGGAGTAGTGATTCCATGCTCCACAAGGTATGGTATCATGTCTTCAATGAGGGATGGCAGATCTGGAGCTGGTTCCGTCTTGATCACGTCGCGGAATGGATCCGGTGACACTATCGGCTGATGAAGCGACGGTGCAGTTGCATCTGCACGATCCAACACCACTGTCGGCGATTCTTCCGCCTCCACTGTAAATTTTAGTGTGCAAATGTGGATACAGTTAGTGTCCCAAACAGTTCAAAACAGTGTTGCAAGTTGTACTAGGAGTCGAATGGGGAAAGTTCAAAACTATAATTAATCATTGTCTACTAATATCATTTGTGGTAACGAACCAATACTGAATGCTGTAAACTAATAACATAAACTGAAGCAATATGAAGTAAAAAATTGTATAAATAAATTGATAATTGAATTGATTTATATAAGTCGTTTAACGTTGTATGTGCAAGTTTTTAATGAAAGATGCCAAGACGTTCTTTAAACGCAATATATGTTAATCAGGGAAAGAACATTGTAACAAAGGACGTAAAGATTCCGCAGGGAAAATTCACGTACCGCATACAACTTTCCCGCAACACGTCTCCTCAGTGTTGATCCTCCTACATCCGATTTTCAGCGGCGGACATTTTTCTGAGGAGCACACAACCTCGCCGTAGTAGCACATGCAAATCACGCAGATACTGCTGCTCGGCAGAATCTCGCCGTGCCGGTACTCCATATTCTCGAAGAGACAGTTGCTCGCTGAGATTTATGAAACAAAACCAGAGGAGAAGTTTGCTTGAGGGATCCTCGTGCTTTTGTAGATACAACACGGATCTTGCGAATTTTTTCAACATATGATAATATAAAAATAAATAAATCAATTAAGCAATTCTGGTAAATGTAAAACAGTGACGTGTAAAATTTTTAAAGAAAAAGTACTGTACTTTTTTTTCAATAAGATTTTTATTTTGATTTAAATTCCTGGATAATTATAAGCACTATGTCTGATGACAATTGAATCTTTTAATCAAGATCAAGATACAAATAGTGATATCATTTATAGTTTTGTTTAATAGAATGAGTAAAGATGGGATAACGTAATATTAGTATATTCGATGATTTTAAAAATTAGATTCGATAGAAGAAAAATGATCACCTTTACGATGAGAGTTTGTTATGGGTGCTGGGACCACGGTGACGCCTGTCCCAATTTCAAGATTCAAATCAGTTGAATGGTATGGTGCATCGAAGTAGGGTGGCTCCCTTGGAAGAAATCCACCTTGAACAGAGGGAACATTTATAGTTTTGTTTAATAGAATGAGTAAAGATGGGATAACGTAATATTAGTATATTCGATGATTTTAAAAATTAGATTCGATAGAAGAAAAATGATCACCTTTACGATGAGAGTTTGTTATGGGTGCTGGGACCACGGTGACGCCTGTCCCAATTTCAAGATTCAAATCAGTTGAATGGTATGGTGCATCGAAGTAGGGTGGCTCCCTTGGAAGAAATCCACCTTGAACAGAGGGAATAAATTTCGATAAACTAATACTTCAGTTTTAACAAAAATAATGAAAACACGAATTAAAATCTCAAGCTTCGTAATAAATTTAAATTAGTTATTTCATTTATTTCTATTTATCAATAATTATTTCAACTGAATTAACAAAAAGTGGAATCACTACATTTTTTGAAAGAATTTACTTCCAGCTTGTCGACTGAGGTTAACAAAATTTTTGGCTGGAGAAGAGAAGCACGTAAACAGTTTGGCTACATCACCGTGAGACGAATTGACGGTTTTCTCGGGTGCGTAAAGCGCGAACGATCCTATGCGCGGTAAAATCCCTGAGACAGATTGTAAAATACGACCTACCTTCCGTCTCAACTGGCGGGCTGAATCTGTTTTCCTGAGTAGCGATATCGTAAAATCCTGAGGTGTCAGTGGGCCGTAGCTCCGGAGGCACGACCACCGAGCCGGAAGGGTATCCGGTAACCGGGGATGGTACTGTCTTTTCTTTCACCAATGCGTCTGCCGCCACGAATGGTATTATCCTGTCAAAAAAATCCTTCCCTCACTGCCTTCTACGGGATCACCATTGTCTCGCCGACAATCAATTCATTGACAGTCATTTCACCAATACAATTATGTAATAAATGTAGAACAAATCTACTGTTTTGAAAATTTAATAATGTTTAAGAAATGAATAATATTCAAAATCATAAAAAATATATTTTAATCAAGACATAAAAAATACAGCTTATTCTTTGAAATTGCAAGTTCCAGGAAAAAATCCAAATCATTATTAGAAAATAGTAAATGTACAAGAGAACGATTCAGAAAAGTGTATTATTTACCTTACCTGACATTCGGTAACGACGGAGGCAGTGTGGGTTCGCTGTAGTCGTAATCGTAATCGTCATCCTTCTCACGGTGAGTAATGTTCAGAATGGCCTCGACGTCCGGCGGGATTGACCTGATCGGGTTGATCGTGACACCGTGTATGTGACCCACGGAGACGTTCGTTTTCACAGTCACGTTCATCACCAGAATGTCGTCTGGCATTAGCACGGTGGATGACGTCCTGGTGACGGACCCTTTGCCCGTTGACTCCGTGACCACCGTCACTGGTTCTGCCTAATGGCAACAGGTTATCTACTCTCCCGCGGATTGATACCAATTCCTCGCACAAACACAACGTTAATTAATCGATTCAGGTGCCAGCGTCCAATCAAAAGTGATTCCATTGATATCACGAACGATATACGTGACTATAATACCAATTGTACGTCGTAACTATAGAACTAGTTTGCTGCCAGCTTAATTGGCATAAAAATCAGTATAAATTAAAAACGGAATGGAAAAAAGTTTACTTATTCTTTGAAATTGCAAGTTCCAGGAAAAAATCCAAATCATTATTAGAAAATAGTAAATGTACAAGAGAACGATTCAGAAAAGTGTATTATTTACCTTACCTGACATTCGGTAACGACGGAGGCAGTGTGGGTTCGCTGTAGTCGTAATCGTAATCGTCATCCTTCTCACGGTGAGTAATGTTCAGAATGGCCTCGACGTCCGGCGGGATTGACCTGATCGGGTTGATCGTGACACCGTGTATGTGACCCACGGAGACGTTCGTTTTCACAGTCACGTTCATCACCAGAATGTCGTCTGGCATTAGCACGGTGGATGACGTCCTGGTGACGGACCCTTTGCCCGTTGACTCCGTGACCACCGTCACTGGTTCTGCCTAATGGCAACAGGTTATCTACTCTCCCGCGGATTGATACCAATTCCTCGCACAAACACAACGTTAATTAATCGATTCAGGTGCCAGCGTCCAATCAAAAGTGATTCCATTGATATCACGAACGATATACGTGACTATAATACCAATTGTACGTCGTAACTATAGAACTAGTTTGCTGCCAGCTTAATTGGCATAAAAATCAGTATAAATTAAAAACGGAATGGAAAAAAGTTTTTTTGCCAATAGAATTTTTTTTTATCTTTTTGAAATATCATAAATGATTAACGCGTATTGAACCGCACTTGTAAAAACTCTCTCCTCAAATGCGATGAAAATTATTTGATACATGTATTTGTCATCCTCAATTTGTTTGTACTAACCGTCGAGTTGACGTGTTCGAAACGTAGTTCAAGCTCCTCGCTCGTGAACGAGGTTGTGCCTTTGGTCTTCGAAGTCAAATTGAGCTGCTTCTCTTGCATCTCCGTCACGCTATCATTTCCGATTGCATCCGATAACAGTGTCGTCAATTCCTCTGTTGCCGTAGTTACAGTATCGTCTGTTGCTAGATCCTCCTCCACATTGTTGATTGTAGTCGTCTCGAAGTCAATCGTCGTGAAAATCGTTGATAAATCGTTGAAAACATCCTCGCTCTTATGAGTCAGCATTGACTCCTGTGCTGTTGACTATAATTTCATTCATTAATACAATCATATAAACATATAATAAATAGACTCTCTTTCGTTTTATAATAAATGGACTTGTTCCCAAATTTGTATTATGTACTTCCGGATAATACACAATATCAGTAAGAATGTTATTTAGAATTCACGTGGTATAATTAATCGCGTAATCTGCATTGAACGACTGAATATGAAAATAGAAAATTTTGTATTCCACTGTTCGGTACGTTTATATGAAATCACACAAATCCACCGAAAATCTGCAGACTATTTTCTATTTACGTGACGTGGACGTTGGATTACCTCTTCGAGCGAAGCGACTGTTGTAGCTGTGATCTCGGAGCTGGATTTCAGGTAGCCAACCGTCTCGAGGATTTCGTTGTCCATGATATCCGTTTCGAAGGTGGACGGCCAGGATGTGGATTCGGTCGCGATCGAAGATTCCTCGTCGATCTCCCTTGTGCTCGACTCGACCCTCGAATCCTCGACTACCCGATGACCGCGTCCCTCCACCGGTGGATTTGTTATCTGATCGACTACCGGCTATGCGAAATACGTATCATATATTACTACTTGCTTACCAATATTCACTGAGTGAATGTTAGGAATTACATATCACATAATATGTATACATCACATATAATATAATTCTCAATATAGAGTTCAAGAAATTGAATTCTGTTATAAGTTAAATAGGTATAAAGTATTAAACACTTATGGCTTAAATAATTAGAACTAATATTATTATTTGATTTATAAAAAATTAATATTATTAAAATTACGAAATTAATATTATTATTTGATTTATAAATTGAAGCTTAGTTAAGCGTTAAAATGATTGACCTTTGAATTACATCGTTAAACTATTTAATAACTTCTTAATTGTATTTCAATTTGATATTAATCATTTTTAACGACTCCAATAATGTATCTCGAAACATCTCGCAAATTTATCTCAGAATTTAGTATCATAAGAGCAGTATCCATGTGCGAAGGGAGAGAATCACTTCGTTCATCAATTTCCTCGCTTTATCATGGTAAAAGATGATCCGGGATTCGTTTACGACCGATGCACCGTGATTTACACGCCGTACGGAATTTAATTAATGCAATCCGGCCGGAATGGACGTCGCGTCAGCGTTAGACGTTTAACTTGATAGTCGGGGAACGCAATGCGATGCATTCCTCGTCGTTAACAGGAGCCTTTCTCTCTTTAGTCCATGTTTGTTATACAATCTGTCACGGTCCGAAACAATTACACGATCATTTGTCCCAGTTGTTTTGTCGCTTAAACGTTCGACGCTTCGAATGCGGGAGATAGATTAGCTGCCTTTTTGCGAAGAAAATGCGTATCGAAAATTAGTATTTATGAATTTATTGAATATCATATAAAAAGTAAGTTAAGAGAAAAAATCTCTGATTATACGAATGATCCACCAAATATGTAAAACGTATGCAAGCTAGAAAATAAATTGGAAGTTATTATGAACTATATAAAGTAACATATTTTCTGTTATATGTTAAGACATGCTTTATACGAATTTTTTAATGATTTGTTTATATTAGAGATAATACAGTCTATCAGACTAGATTTTTTTATTGCGTCAAGAAAGTGGAATGTACGTACAAAGAAATTGGTCTCCTTGCGGAACTTGGCGTAGTCCTTGCTGATAAAGGCATACGATGCGTAGTTCTGGGTGGCCTTAACTTCGATGCTACCGCCTTGAACGTTTAATCTGTCAGTTTCTTATAGCGTTTGGGCTAGAACACCTAGGTGGTAATCAGGGTTGTGAAAGAGCACAGGGTTTTTACTGCGAACCCCACCCGGCTTGTGTTCTCGTGTTTTCTTTTTATCTCACCGTGCTCTCGAGCACCCGAAAGGAAATTGAAACGCTGGTTTAAATTAAATAGTTAGGCTGAGAGATTTTTATCAAAAAAAAACAAAAAAGATTTCTCGTATAAGCTTTTGAATTTATTTGTAAGAACTTTGTTATCAGTCTGTTGATTATACTATTTCATATAATACTTAAATGTCCATTACGGTATTATAAAAATTTACTTTTACAGGAAGCACAGTTTACACTGCGAACATGGACAATTAAATTTTAAAGCGTGCTTTCCAAGATCACTGGAATGGAATTAGATTTCGCTTGGAAAGGAGGAGGTAAAATTTCCAATCTTTTAGAAAACCACGGAATCAGCGAGAATATTATCCTTTTCACGGAATCCGGATACTCAACGGAGCATTCAAATTTAATGATTTTCCTCCGCTTCCTACCTACGCGATTTCCTAATTCAATTCAACTTCCCCTATCCCGCGAGATTTTCCAACCGGTGAGATTAGAGGCGTAGATTCCTCGAAAATGTCGGAATTATTGTCAGTCTTTCTTTCTCTCACGCGGAAAATGAAACCCTAACAAAAAACGTGAGTTTAAGAGTTTGAAATAACAAGTCTGTTTTACACGCGAAAGTTGTGTCAAATAGTTCTGAACCGTAATAGATTTGTGTTACATAAATTATATAGTGTTAACAAAAATAAATTGAATCTTTTAATACAAATTAATCTGTCGTAAAGAGTTAAACTCAATCACTGTCAACCCTTCCTTTCTTATTATATCCAATGCCCAGAAGTTTAATACACTGTAATCGATGGAATTCAATTTGGAGACAGTCAGAGGAACTTAATGCTCCTTTTCATTCAGTAACACGGGTATGTTATACACTCATTCAGTAACCAAACTCGGTTCAGAACTTCGTCATTTATGCCTCAACCGGATTCCCTGTTAAAAAATTCATTCAATGCCCCGGGAGAAATCGTCGAACTTCAACTTCAATATCTTCGCCGTAACAAACCATCGATTTGATCCCCATCTTCGTGTCCTAACTTATCCCCATAAATTCTCTAGTACCAATTTCAATAACTGCTGTGATAGGCTCAAATTATAACTTACCTCGCTGTCTTATCAACCCTCGATGTTAACCCTAATAGGATTTTGCCTAACAACTTAAGAATGATGATATTAATAAGAAATTAAAAATGGCATACGTTTGACAAATCGCATTTCATTAATCTTTAACAAATGAAATTATATCAGATTTTAGGATACGAGTTCCATTTTAATTTAAAACTGAATTCCACAACATAATTTCTGATTTCTTAAATATCTTGTTGTGCTTACTAACAAGTCTACTTATTCTCAAAAATTTTACTTCGATTTTCCGTAGAAAATTATTCCACACATTCTAAACTACTTGAAAAGTCTGTGATAAAAAGGAGCTTGGTTCACTTTGACAAAAAGAATGGCGATTTAATTGACTGTGAAAACACAATCCGGGCGGGCTGGTCTGGTCGTTCGGGTGGGGCGTAAATCATAGCAACCCTGATATTGCGAAGACATTGCGACTCACTGCAGTTGTAGGTGGACGGGCAACAGTGACCATCGCGTACGATCGGGCTGCACCCTTGAAGAGGTGGTGCGCAGGCAAGGGGAACACAGCGTACCGCGCCCATAGCGCAGAAACAATTGTCGCAGGCGGCCTTCCACTCGATGTCACGGACCATCTCACCCTCCTCATACACCCTCGAGCCCACGCGACACCCTGTGAACCGAAGTCGATCAGTTCATCCCTCTCGATACCAGATCGATTCAACCCTCTTTCCCAATTGCTCTTTACCGAATTACTTCGATCGGCGACGACAATTATTTTCACGAAATAGTGCAGACTAGAGTACAATGCAGGATTAAGATATAATAATTAATATCTGTTAATAGAAAATTGTAGGACTGTTCGTCTTCAATTTTTTTTTTTTGCTAACACAGTGAATTGTCGATTTATTTTTTGTAATCAATAAAGAAGGTTCTATACGTGAGCAAAGTTCAATATGTTTATAAAGCTTTTTCTCAAATATATTCTGAGAAGAAAAATCTCGTTCAAGGAATACCATTTTCCGGAAATATAACTTCGAAGCGACTGTCACTTTGTCTTACTTCAGAACTGGGAAACGATTCTGAGAAACGATAATCGATCCACTGGACCTCTGACGCAAGCTAATTTCATTGCTACCCCACAAGTATAGTAGAGTAAACAAGTCGATATCCATCACTGAACTTGGCATACATCAATCCAGGGTGTTATTAGAGTGTCTTCTCACTAACTGGTGGACAATGGTAACACCTCTTGATCGTTATTCAGAGTTTTCACGGGGAAGGGAACTTCAGATGCTGTTCGGAAGAACAGCCAGGTCCGGCGGATAGTTTCCGAGGGGAAACTGTTTGGGATTAAGTCGGTGCCGGTGGTCCGGACCGGACTTCTAATGGGGTGGAAACGAGGCTTTGCAACGGAGGTTTAAGTTTTAAGTAGCCACGCGAAACTGGCCGTTAAATGGACAGCCACGATGTCTCGGAATGTTGGTCTTTCGAAAGTTGCCGCCGCCGCGCCGAGGCAATGCGGAAAGGGTTGTAATTTAAAACAGTAGAGAAGAGGGCTATAGAATTTTAATACACGATCCCCTTTTTATTATCCTGAACTTCTTTCATAACGCGTCACATTATTTCTGTACGTATGCAAGAGCACAAGATTTGAATACAGCCTATCACTTGCACTTTAATATTTCCAAATAAACAAAATGTGTCAGTACATTAAGTACAAATCGGTTTATAGTTTATTCAATATAAAAGTAATTCTTGATCATAAGATTATTTCTTCAAGGAGTAATAGCAAAACTGCAAAAAACTTAAGGAATAATTAAAAGCTAAGAAATTTCAGTACATTTTATGATACCTTCCATTTTTTATGAGAAAATTAGACAAGGGGTAAAAAAGTTTCCTGCTAAAAGTACGTCGGTTTCGTGTAACTTCGTGGAAGATCAGAAACGAAAATTCGCGGAAGTGAAACAAACGTCTCCGGGTCGTCGCTGAGCGTCATTTTCACGCGTCAGATTTGTCGTGAAACATATATTCTCATTTCCCCGGAAAGAAAAGAGCCGCGCCGTACCACGCTGCTGCATCGTAAAATTGAATGAAACTGGGCGTTAAGTGAACGAGCCGAGAAACGACAGCCAGCTACTGTGGCAGGAATCTTTTCGTGACAAGTGTTATGGGATAATATATCGTCGACGCACGGCAAATCCTTTATCGCATTAAAAAGATTCCCGTCAACTTTTCAAAGCAACATGCCTCGTTCATCTATGACATTACTGAAAATCGTATGATCTCTATGAAAACATTAACTAATTAAACAAGAAGAACAAACGACTCGACAATATTTTTATAAAAATCTATAACCGTATGTTGATATTCATATTTTATATTCAAAAAGGTTCTAACTTCCACGATGAACTATATAGTCAGTTATGGAGTGGAATATATTGATCAAAGTAATGACGAGAACAACTGATAGAAGAAAACATTGAATTTTTATATAAAAGTGCATAACTGGCAGGGGTTGAACCGAGTATAATTTGAAGAGATGAATTTTTTAAAAGAACCTTTCGGATAATTAGATGGTAGGTACTCGGGGGTCAGCGATAAAGCCCGACACAATTTAAAAGGATTAAAGTTCGCCGTTGCAGCGGCGGAGCAGCGTGCCGCTGATTTTGCGCCGCGATGCGATGCGAAGCGATTTTTCCTCATAAGCTGAGCTTAAATTTAAACTCGGTCAGGAAGCCGGGAGACTTTCTAAAACGGGTCTGATACAGCACAGGGGAAAACTTTCGTTTTTATCGTGTTAAACTTTTTGTCGCGTCGAGCAAGATCTCTGAAATGACTGTTCTTATTCGGCGGTCGAGAATTATTAAGCGCCATCGAAGATTTCAATTTTCATTTCTGACGAAAAATATTAATTATTTCTCAATTACACATTTTGATCGTTGTCTTGTTATAAGAGACATACTTTATGATATTATATCTATCAATGATATACAAATGCAAGTGTACGTTGATATTCTTAAACGAATCTTTATTGCTTTAAATGCAATGCATTGTACTTATATTCTGTACAATTTTCAAATGACCCATTATAAAGTTTCAATAAAAAAAGTACTTGACAATTTTAATCGTATTTCTCATACGCAATAAAACAAAAATTAAAAAATCTACTTACCATTTCCCATGATCGGCGCCAGGGTCGACGAGTAGAGTTCTTTGAAAAAAAAGTAAACGAGTAGCTGTAAGCCGTTATTCAAGATTCGTGTACATAAGTGGCGTGCCATCAACACACTCACGGGTGCAATTGTAGGCAACGGGGCAACACGAATGCGGGGCGTAGAGGGGCGTGCATCCTGGCAAGGGCAGCAGGCACTTCGGTCTGATGCATCTTCTAGCGCCGGAGATGCAGTAGCAGTACTCGCATCTACGCGAGCCCATCATCGCCGAGCCAGGCCCGTATCTCACGCCCTCGTGAAGGCAACCTGATTGTTAACACGAACAACCATCAGCACCGCCTGGTTGAATCTTTTAACCGTGAGCACCCTTGAACCATCCCGTACGCGCTGGCCTGGTCTACTTGGGTGAAAACTATTTTACCTGTCCGTCAAGGGCTGTTTCAACTATGGAAAAGTATATCGCGAAATGGTGACGGAAACGGAGTCACGCTGGGGACGTTTCCCATTTGACTCCGTAAACGGAATCTTAAAATACTCATGATTCAAGGATTTCTTTTTTCATTCACAAACTATAAAACACTTTTAACTTTTGAATTTAAAAAAAGAAAGAAGATTGATTATCCGACGCCCGGAAGAAGAATTGATCTATTTGTAACGATTTAATGTTCCCGGTTCAAAAGAAAAATTAAGTAAAAGGAGGCGTGTGTACAAATTTTATAGTTGAAAATTATGAGTACTGGTAGCAACTGCTAATAAAAATTAAATACGTCAATTTGTTAGATTATACGGTCCCGATAGCGAGCGGCCAAAATCACAGGTTGCATAAAGCAACGATTTTCAAGTCGTAAACTATAATAGGGAACGATGGGTTGGGTAATAATAGCACTAGCCCTCAAATTGTAGACTCCGGTGGCGAATCGTAAATTATAACAACAACCACGAAGGTGTAAACCACGGTTACCTCCGACGGCATCGTAAACTATAACAAGCGTTCCAGCCACCGATAGACTTCGTGAAAATAGATATCAAGGCTCCAATTTCGCGAAACTTAATAGTGACGCATCGTAACGTCCTTATCGTAATAGCGATATCTCAATAACGTTTTCAATTAGTGTGCTGTACACTGAAACAACTTGGCGAATTAGGTGTATACCAGAGTCGCGTTCAACCCGCACCGAGAATATCTAAATTCGCTGTATTTTAAATTCCACGATATTACCTTGAAGACGAGAACTCTGCTGAGTTCCACTCTTCTCCTCTTGCTCCACACGAATGTTCGATCTGCGTAGCATGTTCTCGGCATCGCCTGAAACATTTATTTCCTTTCGGATAACTTCAGAAATCTTCCCCTTTGAGTGTAACTCACGATCAATGTCGATTAAAAATTAAGCAAAGAGAGAATTTTAATTAAATATTAAATCATTAATACGAAGAGAGGATCAGGATGGACATTAATTATTTAATGTTCAATTTGTTCCATGTTTCATTAAATTTCTTTACTTATGTTATCTGAACATATGTACGATGAACTACGTGATGTGAAACAATATACATAGTTGGTTGTAGACAGGGGGTAGTTGAAGGAACGATTTTCATAATTGTACTAACGTGTCTCGCCGCAAACTAATTCCGCGCAGCAGACGTTCTCTCCGGGCGGACGAACGCGACAACCGAGGGGCGGCGAATTCGGTAGCCGTGGACAAACTCGAAGACGACATCTGAGCGCACCCTCGGTGCACCTACACTGCAAACATGGTTCGGACGTGACCACCGGCGTGCCGTCCTGGTACCTTCGTCCTTCGTACCTGCATCCTACAACACCACGCCCTAATTTTTTTTTAAAGCAACCATAATTCATAAAAGATGCAAAATTCTGAAACTAGTACTTTAAACATGATATAACAGATAATATGAAATTTATATACAGTTTTTTATACGGAATCATTAATATAAGAAGCTCTTAAACAACATTAAAAATTGGTACATCAAGAATATTTGAAACGAAGTCAACGTGACTGGATAAATCTTGCGGTACCAGAAGGAACCTTGGATTCAAGCAATTAAAGAGGCGGAGACCGGCCTTGAGAGTCACTGGTCGGCGTCGCTATGCATGGAGATCGCGGCATCGCGCATCGGTGCCAAATGCAACGGTGCACGCGTGCATTCGTGCGCATACCGAGGTATGAATGGAACCAGACGAACTCTGCCCTCTCGTCCGTTCATTCTCTTTCGCCTTCGTTGCCCCCCTTCACGCTTTCGTTCAACCATTCTCCTTCCTCCTTCCACCGCAACTCCCACTCGACCGGCTCGAGTCTTAAGCCTTGTCTGATCGTGAGTCTCAAGGAGCAGCATAAACGCGTGTAACATAACGTTTCGCACATGTAAAACGAAACGGCCAGGTCGCACGATCTATAATCTATGCCTTCGCTGCTAGTCATTTTGAAGAAATGTCAAACTGAAGTAGAACGAATCTTAATACCGAGTCGTTAAGTAGACATAGTCAATGTATAGTCAGACATATTCAGTAAGACTAGGAGGTGAGATAAATCGGTGATAAACCTTTAATCCCTTGGGAAAAAATGAAGTAATCATCTCTGGTATCTGTTTCTAAGACTATAGAATTTACATTAAATATTTAGTTCTAAAACAATTTATTGGACTATGAAAATCACACAAATATTAAATGCAACATTGGTGAGACTCTGAGAATAATGGAAACGGTAAAACAAGATAATTGCGGTTCTCAGTATCCAAGAGAACCGTAGAAACGGTCACCGGCGATTGAATTGCGATACGTATATAATTACCAATTAAAACGGTCAACGATTGCGTAATAGTTATAAGCGTGTAAAATATAGCGAATCTTGTATGAAACACACTAAGGGAGACAAAAGGTAACGGGAGTTTTTGTGAACCGTACAGCATCTTATTACATCCGGGCACGTTGCAATCTTCTTTATTATCGTTGGGTACCCTTGCAATTGCGCCAACGCGAGAGAGTAGTATTTTTTAATTATTAACTCCCGTCAGGATCAGGCTCGTCATGAGAAAGCAGAAATTATATGAGTGAATAGATAACAAGGTTCACGGCTTTTGTCTCGGATGAATCGCGGTAAACGAAGTTAAATAGTGATATTGATCGACTAACTGGAAATCTACTTTCTTTACTATCCCGTTTCTCTGGGTCAACGTAACAATCTCGGAAAACAGCAGTATGATATTTTTCTCAGAGAAAAAATAACGTCTTGGTTTCTTCCTGTGAAAATTCTCTCCTACGGTGCGGTAAAAGGAGACACTTCCGTTTTATTTTTGTAAAAAATCGTATTCCACTTTTTTTTAAGCAGCAAGGCCTCCCCGTTAGAAAAGCTGCTTTCTCTCCTCAGGAGAGACGTCTATAGACTCTTGATCCTTTGAGGGACGCTCGTCAAAGGGGAGGATATTGGTAAACTCGATGGCAAACCTTTATTACGTTCAACTTAAAACGACGAGTACTCCTTTCCCGCGATACTCGAGCCATGTGCATGACAGACGCGAATTCATATATCGAAAATGTGTTTCTACAGGTTACGATGAAATAATTAATGAAATTAATAAAATGTTTAATGAAATAATGAAACAAAAAATATCGCTTCTTCTGACAATGAATGATACCAAGCTTTATATTATCTTATTTAGTGGTGATTGTAGGATAATTATTTTGCCACATGCCGTAATTGCGATACATGGCATGTTCCATGTAAAAAGGCGGTAGCCCTTCGCGAGGGCACACTTTTAATTAAAACATGGCGCTGGAAGAAGTCCTGATCGGGATAGCGATTGGGACTCTGTTATTAATCGGACGCGATCACGCGATATTTCCTCGCGATACGTCCGCCAGCCGGCTCAAATTTATCGTCGTGCCACGACTGATTTATCAACCGAAATCCGTTTTATCAGCGTGTTTTGCGCGCGAGGATCCTCTCGCGATCCAGGCGCTCCGCACCGATTGACCAATCGGCGTCGCGACGCTTCCTCGTTTACGTTTTCATCCCTGTAGCCGTAACCGATTCTTTTAAAGATCAACAATTATTACAATTTGTTGGCAAGGAAGTGTTTTTTGAAGTAGAATAAAAAACAGAATAATTATTAATTTAAAACGTTTGATTACTTAAAAGAGAATTTATTTTTTCCATTAAATTTAGTGAATATGGAATAATATTACTTTTCTCCAACAATTCGAATATTTTCCACGCGGAATATGCGAAATCCTCTCCGTGAAACGTCAGTACTACTTCAATTAATATAAAATTTAATAATACGTGGACCACATTCCATGAATAGATCAATTATTTCATAATAATGGTTTACAAAAGCGTGTAGCTTTTAACAGGAACATCATTCAGTACATAAATGATTATATTGCGGGCAAGGACCATGTGATTAAAATGTAAAGCTGAAGTGTCATCCTTCTCCCGTGCCATGAAAAACACGCAGGATAACAGAGGCTGCTCTGAGGAGCGAAACAGCGGCCGGTGATCCGGCAGAAATGTTTAATCAGGCTTCGTTGGTTGTTATTTATTAACGTTTTTCCCGACGAGTGCATAATTCGTTCGGGCCCCTCCAAAGTGATGTAATTTCGACGTGGTGGGAGGGACTGGAAGGGAATGATTTATCCGAGCGTGAAAAGTCAGTGATTTATCGTAAATCTCGCGCCGAATTTGCAACGTCGGGCCAGGACGGAAAGCGTAATTCATACACCATCGGCTGATTCCTTTTTTCACGTTTCTGTACCGACGCCTCATTTATTAAGAACTATTCAGTCTTTAGTGTAACAGTTTTACAAATAACACATTATAAGTTTTAAACTGATCTTGAGTATAATAGAATTTAACGTAATTTAATTTCAGTAGTCGGTTTTATAATTATAATGGACGAAATTACACAACATCGACAAAATGGATAAAATGATATTTCTTTTAATAAAAAGATTAAGTACAGAATATTATTCTATTATAGTATAAACCTGAGGTGGGAAACCTTTTTACCATTAGAAGCCACATTTAAATTAGGTAGTAATAAAGGAGGCCGCTATAATTTTTTACGAAAATGTGAGTGGGATATTTATTTCTTGCTTGGAAGCAATTGAATACATTGAAATATAAGTAACATTTAAAACCGTATAAGGAGGCCACACAAGAACTTCACGGAGGCCGCACGTTCCCCACCGCTGGTATAAACTATTAAAAATACGGGAGAAAATTAAATGCTTTTATACTTCATATCTACTGTATACTTCATATCTTATTGAATTACATCTCGTGGCGTTAATTAAAATGCTCGGTGCATTAACAGGGATACTTTAATTATATAGAATAACAATATTGTACTATTATGCAATGAAGCACTGCTAAGCACTTCCGGGAGCTTACGTGGCGGAGCTAATTTATGGATCAATTACACCCTCCTGTGTACAATATAGCTACCCCACTAGTACATCATGACAACAGTTACGGAATTGAACGCCCAATTAGAGTGAGCACTGCACGTAGAACTTTTTCCGATGCTTCTTGTTTTGTTAGAACATTTCTTTAATCAGAATGTCATTTTCTCTTGCTATTTAAATATAAAATTCTAATACAATCGTGATACAAACTAGAACAGCATTCGATGGTAGACCATTAATAGTAGCTAATCAGTTTCGGAAACACATAATTATCGCGAGACTTTCGCGTGATAAAACTTACTACGATAATCGTGCCGTTTACCCAGGCTGCAAATTTGTTAACGGATGACCAATTAGAATATCTTGATCAATTCTAACTTGCGATATCGTCTGCAAATTCGTTTTTCCACTTCTTTACTCCATAGTTACTCGTTTATATTGAAATAAAAATTAATTAACTGCGTAGAAATTAATTTCTTTTCATCAAGAAATTACTTTCTCTTTGGAGAATTCATTTTTTTATACGCAGAAAGGAATTCATTTTGACGAGCTCTTACAGCAATTTGAGCTTTCACGAGAATTTGTCCTTTAAATTGAAATTTCATGCACTGGAGTCCTTTGATATTAAAATAGCCTTTAATGCGTTCGTATAGCGTGCAATAATCTTAAAATAAAAACTGAAAATGAAAGCAAATATTCTAATTCCATTACACATAAAATTTTCATTTGCTTCATATTCTTTACATTAATTATCTCCCACATATGACTTCCATTTTCATTCAAATAGGCAAAATATGATTTTAACTCTTAAAGTACTAGATTTGATATAATATCACAGAGTTTTTACGACAAAAGTATACGATTTTCATCTCTATATGCGGATATATACAGCGTTAATTCTAAGCAAATGGTACTTGCAATTACGGATACAAAGTCCCGATAAATAGGAACTGCAACGCACCGCGTTAATATCGAATTAGCATGAATAATTTTCTACCCGGCACGCTAATATTGACATCGATACGGTGATACGTTCTCATTGAAGTTAATAGTTTAATCACTCCGCATTAGAGAACTCGCGGGTACATTCGAGAACTTGCACGGTGATGGGATATATATATATATACATATATCTCTGTTTTCCATTTCTCGATATCGCCGCCGAATCCCATATCGATATGACTGTGTAGAGTACCATCCCTATTGCATGTGAATCTCTCTGTCAATATCGATAACTGTGATCGCGAACGTTTAAAGCAATTATTGCTGATTGTGTAAATTACGTGTCCACCTAGCAAATTAACAGAAGGGAAATGATGGTTACAAATTTATTAACGGTTGGCGATGGTTAGTATATCCGCTGATATGAATCATAGATCAAAGCGAATTG